ATCAGATAAGTGATTATAAACTGTCATAATGAGCTATGAAGACATGTGACAGGTGTCTTCTGAGAGGGTAACATTTGGGCTGAGACCTCAGGGAAGAGAGTAGCAGGATGTCAGTGACCCAGACGGGGGAACAGCAGGTACAAGAGCCCCGGGCCAGGTAGACAAAAGTAGAGATGGTATGGACCATAGCAGCGGTCGCCAACCTTTCAGACCTCACAGACCACCATTGGTCCACGGACCACCGGTTGGCGACCGCTGGACCATAGTGTCTGACCATAACACAGTACAATTAGAAATACAGAAATGTAAGCAAACACAATGCCTAGTAGTAATCTTCATCATTATTATCATCATAACCATGACCCTTTAGCTGCGTCACATAAGAAAGACTCAAAAACTAAGTTACATAATATTGTCATTCTGGCCTTTGATTTACCTCTACTCTGTTTATGGTCTTTAATTGTTTCTGAAAGACTTGTTTTTTGTTTTGTTTTCTTTGTTTATGAAAGGTTTTGCTTCTAGGCATTGGCGTACTCTCATCATTTTTTCCTAGAATCTATATTGATAGCTGGTTAGTTGGCCTGCTGTGGGATTTCTAAACCAGGGCACCTCAGCCTTGGCACTCTTGCCATTTGGGCTGGATAATTCCTGACCTTCACCAGTAACTTCCTCCATCCCCCCCCAGTTGTGACAACCAAAAATGCCTACAGACATTGCCACATGTTCTGGGGCGGGGGTGAGGTTGGGGGAAGTGTTAAAATGGAGGACTTGGAGAACTTTGCTCTAAGGGAAATCCCAGGCTAACATGAGGCGAAGTCTCCCAGATTGAGAATACCCTCTATGCCATCTGTTCATCAAGAGAGGACATGGTAAGACTGCCCCCTGCCCTCTTTCTCTTCAAGAGAAAAAGTTAGGTTTTATGACTGAGAGTTCCTGATGACTTCAAGAAAGTTCTGTATACTAGTACATCACTCCTTATTATAGAAACTGTTGTGTAAGTATGGTGGGGTTGCCTTGCAATGTGTACTATCCTCAGGTTAAAAATAAAAGGGGATTGATAAGGCTCAGCTGTTTTAACTGATTAATTGACTCCATGCCTTTTCATACAGAAGTGGACCCAGCCTTTGGCAAGCCTACTGTGAGTTGCTTTTCCAATAGTGTTGATTGGTTTCCTTTGTTCTCCACGCTTAACCCAGTTCATCTTGTGACCAGTGGCATGTAATTCTATAACAGGAGCTATTTGTTCTGAGGCCACATTTTTTCTAAATTGATTTCCTGTCTTTTAATCTTCCTTATTTTCCTCCATTTCGTAATCTCACTATATTTGTCCCGATAAATGCTTCACTGAAGTAACTCAGTTTATTCTGAGTTGGGTTTTTAGGGATACATCTTGTTATTGTATGTTGGCAATTGTCTGTTCCTGAAAAAGAATTCCATTCTTTAAACCTAGAATTTTCCTTTCTGCTATTTTGGACTAACCTTGTGCAACTAAATACCCTGCTGATTATTGTACATAGAAATGAGTTTTGATCATTCAAAGGACTCTCCTTAAAAGTCCTTAAATAAGAGCCCTAGTTGGTTTGGCTCAGCGGATAAGGCATCGGCCTGCAGACTGAAGGGTCCCAGGTTCAATTCCAGTCAAGGGCACATGCTCAGGTTGCTGACTTGATCCCCAGGAGGAGGTGTGCAGGAGGCAACCAATCAATGATTCTCTTTCATCATTGATGTTTCTATTTCTCCCTCTCCCTCTCCTTTCCTCTCTGATCTCAATAAAATATATATTTTAAAAATCCTTGAATAAGATTGTTGGTCTTATCAATCCATTGAAATCTTTGAAAATTCAATCATGTGGGGCAAATGTAGGTTTATATGTGTGAGTATGCAAAACACAGGGTTTATTCTTGTATTATTATTTTCCATATGGATAACTGGGTATGCCTCACTCTGTATGCATTAGCATCCTGAATTCAGGGGGCTAGTTTCATCCCTTACTAACTAGGGTTTCTACTTGGATATTATCCTACCAGCGAGGCTGTTCCAAAATACCTAATATAAAGTAACCTCTCTTGGTACTTAGTCCCCTAACCTTCATGATGTCTTCACAGACATTCCTCACCATCTGTGACGCTGTATACTTGCTGGTATGTTTGGGTTTTCCCCCCTTTTCCTTATTGGAATGTAAGCTATATTCCCAGTGCTTAGAACACACAAGGAAATATTTGCTTGAATGAATGAATTTTCTTAATTAATTTATCAGGCACTTATTTAGCACCTTTGATGTGCCACACATCATTCTAAGATCTTTACAAATATTAAGCCATTTCCAAGTGGATGGTTTTCTTTGCCTTTCCTTCACAAATATATTTTCTCTACTATTCCCCTTTTCTTTGAAATAATCATTGTTTTGAGCAGCTGCACTCCTGTATCTTAGCAGAATGTTTCTTTTTCTGTTCATAGCCTCTTGTTTATGTAGCTGTTTTCTTCCATCATCATGTCCTCTCCCTGAGGTCATGAGGATTGTTCTAGGTCTCCTGATCGCCCCTCTCCTGGAATGGGCACGGGCCCAGTTGTGTACTCGGTGTGTTCCTGAGAATGTCTAAGGAAACCAGTGTAGAAGGTGGGGAACTCTATTTACAGGTCATGCCATTTTTTTCAGTGGCCATGTGACCAGCTCTGAGCAGCTTACTTGTGCTCACAAATGGTCTTGCTGCTCCCAGCACATTAAAAAACAATGCAATGTTTACATAGGTCATAAATACTTAATCACTGTTCATATATATTTTAGTGTCTCAGTGTTGTACCATGTGTATTATTTCCAAAAAAAAAGCAGAATCAACAGAAATACAGACAACAATTTTAATATTCTAAATTATTTCTGTCCTCAAATTCTGGGATTCTCCATCTACCCAGACAATTCGTGGAAAAAGTTGTTTGTTTTCATGTTGGGCAGGACTTGCTGGTGATGAGCTTGCAGGAGGTAGTTTTGCTGGCTTTAGTGGCGTGTCTTGGTTCCTACGAGAAAGACATTTCCGGGGAACTTGAGTAACCTGTCTGCCAGTTGTGTTGGCAGGAGCTTTGAGCAAACAGAGTGAGGAGAGACCTTCCCGGGAGTGCTGGGAGCAGAGAGAGGACGACGCACGGGGGCTTCTATGCGCCCAGCCCGCCAGACGTTCCCTGGCCCCGCCAAGTTCTGCATCTGCGCCCACCCTCACAGTCACTTCCCATGGAAGACCAAGAAACCTGCCCAGTGGTGGTGGTTCTAGCAAACCTGCCTGGATTGACATCATGGGCATCTAGAAAGCTGGGGAAGGCAGAGGGTTCCAGCTGCTGCTTCTGGGATTTTCCATGTTCCCCTACCATAACTACTTGTACTTCTCGCCTACATCTCTCTGTTTAACTTTCTTCCATGGTATTTATGAGTTAAAATGCGAGCGTGGGTGTCCTGAGTGTTTCCACACTCTTGAATGTTCCTGTGCATTTTTCTTGCCACCTTGTTATCCTGGCAAACTCCACCCCGAGTGCCCTCCCAGGGCCCCAGGCCTGCCCCAGCCTGCGGGTGCTCACGGGGCAGGGTTGGCCACTTCGCCAAGGGTTGGGCCGCTGGGAGGGGTGCATCTCCTGGTGGGTGTTCCAGCACAGGAAACAGCTGGGGAGAGTGGCTGGTCCTCAGAAGGCGAGCAGGGTGTCTGCCCTGGCCTCGAGTAGTGTCTCAGGACTGGTTTTGAACAGGTCTTGTGGTTCACATGGAAGAAATGCCACTGCTGAAGTTTTAATTTTTCTCTAGAAAAAGAAAACATGCCATTTTCCGAGGCTTCTGAAAACCATCGAATTGGTACTTTTGCTTTTTTTGGTGTGTCATTCTCTTTTGCAATAACATATCATTTGTTGCCATGTAGGCAACTGGTCAATATTTAAAAACAGAATCCCCAGTCATAAAGTTCTGCAAATATTCCAGAAGGTTGTTTGGTGTGTGTATGTGCACATGTGAGAATGGGTGTGTATTTTCATGTCTTTTAGGTTCTTGTTTATTTTTGGTTTGTTTTTTTTGCATCTTGGAGTTCTTGTTTTGGGGACGAACGTAATAAAAGTGTGAAGTGAATAAATATGGAGTAGACTCCATAATTAAATGATGTTACTACATGAGTTTGCATGTAAAGCTGGACAGGCTTGGTCAACAGATGGAGCTGATTTGAAATGGTTAACCTGAAACCAAATCAGTTGTGAGAAAGGAGGACTGAGTAGGTTTGAGAAATCCATGCACATTCGGAAATCAGTCTGACAGTATCAGAGTTGTCTCGAGTACATGCTAAAAAGCTGGTGTCCAGCACTCACCATGGGCATTTGGGACTTTCAGGAAGACAGGCTGTCAAGCAAACAAACCGATTTTATTTTAAATCTGAGAGGGGATTTGTTTTGCCTAAAGGTCACATGAATGCTATGCTAGTATATCCCTGATAGTGAGGGGAGAACATCCAGGGATATTTTTCAAACATTCCTGTGCAAATGCGTTCCAAACTTTGAACAAATCTGTAGACATACAGTGAGTTTACGTACCACTTAAATGGAAGAATGTTATTATGAAGCTTTGAAATATATGATCCCGTGTGAAACATTATGCAGTGAAACCAAACTGCTTTCTAAAAGCTTGGTTAGCCAGTTTCTTAACTGATTTAGATCATTTGGAGAAATAGGCAGAGAAGTGAACTCTAAGGTTATAATTTTTGTGGTTTCCGAAGGATGGTTAGCCCCGAACTAATGTCTCTTAAGATCATCTAACAGCAACTGTCAAGATAATTTCTTCCCTTAAAAAGAGTTGGGTGGCACACACACACACAAAAAAAAAAAAAAATGAAAAAATTCTCTGCAGTTTGTTTTTTATTGGCCAATTCAGGATCTTGTTGCGGAAATGTGTAATGTTTGTATGGTACGTTCAGGAAACTTCTAGAAACTCTTTGCTGCTGATAACTAAACAATTGAATTTATCCCACCCCCTGTTTCAGGTATTCACATACAAGCAGAGCACAATTACACACCAGAAGGTGACTGTCATGCACCCCATGAACGAGGAGGGCGTGGAGGACATGGCCACCTTGACGGAGCTGCACGGGGGCTCCATCATGCACAACCTACACCAGCGATATAAGAGAGACCAGATTTACGTAAGTGCCGCTTCGATGCCCTCTAAAAGTCCCCCAGGTTTGACTGTCTTTTCTTCCTTTTTTAATTTTCAATTACGGTTGACATTCAATATTATGTAAGTTTCAAGTGTACAGCATAGTGGTTAGACATTTCTATAACTTACAAAGTGATGGCCCCAGTAAATCTACTACTAGTTTTCAAAATTATTGTTTTCAAAGAGTACTTCCTGCCTTTTGAGAACCCCTAGTTAAGGTAAGTAAAACTATGTGTTCAAATGTTTTGCCAAATTAGAAATGTGGCTCAATAAATCATGTTCTCTGTGTTTATTGCCATGATTTCATTAGAGGGATTTACTTAAATTGAAGGGTAATTTGACCTTTCTTCTCCTGAATGTGTTCTGTTTGTAAGTGTTCTGCTGTATAAAGAAGCCAGGAGGAGTGGTTTGACTTCCTCAATTAAGGGTTGGGAAAATGTGGATTTGCAAAGCAATGTACCTGACTTACGCTTTTTTCTCCTTTTATGATTTCCTTTTTTTTTTTCTGGCTCTGGATCCCACCCAGTGATATATTTGGATTCAAGGGAAACCATCTACTTTACTTGTGGGATCTGTTTTGAATGGATACATGTCCTTACAAAGCAGACATGCACATGTTTCTCTCAATGTTTATGAAATGTGACTATTTCTGTATTATAAAGTAATATTTAAAACTCCTATAATAACCATCTTTTACATTTAAGTACATATATATTACGTTATCGTCAAGATGGAATGGCCTGCAGATTTTATCCATTTTTTTATCTGCCTGTTTGCAGGTTTTACAGTAGACTGGGGCAACTGCTTATATATGTGTGTGTGTGTTTTCCGATCAAGTTCAAATTCATATAGCTTTTAATAAAACATTTTAATATTGTGACAACACCTCATCTTTGAATAATTTTTGTTCTTTCGGAGTTTGAACTTGGCTAATATTTCTGTGATTATGATGAAGGGTAATGTCAGTTTTTTGAATAGTGAGCAGGTCCTAACTGATACTTGAGGCACGCTTAGGAATTAGGGTCCTCCAAGTTATCTACATTAGATCAGGAGAGAAGAGTTGGGAAAGAGGAGGAATGAGAGATTTGGGGGTGTGGGGCTTCATTTTATTCATCTTTTTAACAAGCATGTTTATTTGCCTTCTCTTTGCATTGGGAAAGTGTCATTTTTGCCAGATCGACCTAATGTTTGCCAAATGTTTTCAAACAGCCCTGTCTAGAGAAATTTCATCATGTTGTAGTCCTCTGACGTGCTGAGTTTGCTTACACTAAGTCTTCAGATTTAAAATGTTTTCCATATGTTCTTCAGACAAGGTAACGTTCATACATGTCTATGTAAAAGTGGCGGTGTATTCTGTGTCTTGCATGTGCTGGCGGGACGCACATTTATTCCTCTGCTTCCATCTCAGAAATCTCATGGGCAGCAGTGAATGCCCTCTTCCCAGGGAATGCTCAGGCACGGGTGTCCGAGTTCCCATGTACTGCACTGTGTTTTTAGCATTAAGTATCGACAATTCCATGTAGCTACTTGTTTACATAGCACATTCTTTCCTCAGTTTGTCAAGGACTTACTTATTTTATCTTTCTGGAGCCAAGGACATTGCCAGGCACCTGGTGGTTGTGCAATAAATGTTTGTATAATAAATGTCATACATATCAGAAAGAACCAGTTCTGGTTGGTAATGAAATGTGAAGCTAGGTTGAAATAGTTTTTATTGGTGTATGTCTCTTGTAGGTGAGTACTTCAGAACTCATCTCTTTTCATGTAAGTCCTTACTCTACATTTAATAGTCAAGCACAAGTAAGTCAATTAGGAGGTGAAAAATACTGCCCAATGGATTTATTTATTTTTAAAATATATTTTAACTGATTTCAGAGAGGAAGGGAGAAGAAGAGAGAGAGAGAAACATCAATGATGAGAGAGAATTATTGATCGGCTGCCTTCTGCACACCCCACACTGGAGATCGAACCCGCAACCCAGGCATGTGTCCTGACTGGGAATTGAACCATGACCTCCTGGTGGTAGGTCAACACTCAACCACTGAACCAAGCTGGCCAGGCTCTAAAGTGCTTTTATTCATTTGTTCACTGCTATGTGATCCAAACCCAGATGACCCCCTAGGGCCAGAGATTGCAGGGATCTAAAACACAGACAGAGATGAGCACAAGAGAATATCTCAGGAATGAACTCAGAAGTATGCCATGTGGTACTACCTTAAAGTCAGAATAACCTGCATTATAGTTGGAATGAACTTGAAATTACAGTTCCTTTTTTTTTTTTTTTTTAATCCGGCTGCTCCCCTATCAGACCTCATCTTTTTTAATTTTATTTTTTGTTTACCTCCCTCCATTCATTCACAAGCTCATCTCAGAAGACTTACGTTCTTCCACCTTTGGACAACAACTGCTTTTAGAAACTGTAAAGTAGTTACAAGAGGACAGTTGCCCAAGATTCAGAATTTTTAAAAAAACGGGGCATGTGTATTTTGTGGCCAATATCTTTACTCTAATTTGGTTATGAGATGAAACCATTCCTCACTGATCTAACATGCTGAAGACATCATCTGAGGAGGAGGGAGATGGGTGCCCAGTTGTCCCATCAAAGGAAACAGCATTATTCTAGCAGTATCTATCTCTTCCACTGTTAGAGATCTGAGGTTACATGATATACTCTACATTCATAACTAATGTGGCTGGAGAACTGGTATTGAATTTATAGCATCAGCAGAACAGAAAATGTGATGTCTCTTAGGCATGTCAACAAAGGAATGACCTGTTCTTATTCTACTGAGAATGGAAATTGGAAGTCAAACATCCTTTGTATTCCCAAATAGGGTCTCCAACATTTTATGATTTCCATTTAAATTGTCAGGAGGCTCGGAGCTATTAGTTAATCTGTCTTCCTATACACTGTTTAATATACCACTGAATAAATGATGCAAGTTGTCAATCGATGAGGGATCAACTAATAGCTCTGCTAGTCATAGATTTGTTTTTCTTCAATAAAGTTGCATAAACCAATGAGTTAGCTGCTGGATTAATCAGTATGGGAAACAATCTTTTGTAAATGCAAAGCTGTTTTTGTGTATACTGTTGGGATTTGCTTCATTGTTTGACATCAAATGATGACGTAAAGTTCAAAAGCGTGAGTACTTTGCCACGTTCAGTTAAAAGTGCCTGGTCTGTGCACAGGTTGACACATTGATTGGCCTGATTTATGCAGAATTAATAAGCTAGTCAGATAGTGTGGCTTTCATGTGCTGCGCGTGAGACTGGCAACCCTGGAGTTCATAGATGGACCGGGGACCCAGCAGTTTTGAACGTGTGTATGGAGTTTACAAAACTTATTTTCCAGGTGCAACCCCTATCTATCTAAATTTTTTCTTCATCTAGCACACTTGACAGGTAAAAACCCTATAGCATGGTAGTAATAGTGGGTTTAAATGGACAAAATTAAAGTACTGTTTGGTGTGGGAGTTGTGAGGCTGTGTTGAAGTGACTTAACTCTGTGGGATATTGGGTAGCCATTGGAATGGGTTTGCTCAGCCATTTACATTAATGAGCATTTAAATTCAACAGATAATCAAGGTGATTTAACATGAATGAATAAAAATCAATGCTATTGGAAAAATAATAAATTGCCCAAGTAAACCCTGTGGTTAGGATCTTGTTTTTGGTGTTTGTTTGTTTGTTTGTTTTCTGAAGTGAAGATCTTTTTCCTCTCCTTTAAAGGGCAAAACACAGGATCTTTGCACATCCAATTTGCAGGTTGACTCCGTTAATTTTGCCTATATGCCTTCCTTGTGAGACTTGGATAATTAGATTCTTATCCATAAAGCAGCCACCATGATTTCCCAATCATTGCCGACGCCGTTGGCAGTGGGTGCCTACCATCAGGAGCCCCTGTGAGAAAAGCACGGCTTTCCCACCTCCTATCCCAACTGTGAGAGAGCCCGTCTGTACATTTAAAGGAGGGAAAAGATGGCTTGACTTACAACAAAGGTGAGAGCTAGCCTTTCTGGAGGCTCTGGGGGAGGACCCACTTCCTGCTCATTCCTGGTGCTGGCAGAGTTCACTTGGGACTGAGGTCCTCGCTCTCTTGCTGGCTGGCAGCTGAGGGCTGGCCCAGCTTCTAGAGCAGTGATGGCGAACCTTTTGAGCTCAGCGTGTCAGCATTTTGAAAAACCCTAACTTAACTCTGGTGCCGTGTCACACATAGAAATTTTTTGATATTTGCTACTGTAGTAAAACAAAGACTTATATTTTTGATATTTATTTTACATATTTAAATGCCATTTAACAAAGAAAAATCAACCACAAAAATGAGTTCGTGTGTCACCTCTGACACGCGTGTCATAGGTTCGCCATTACTGATCTAGAGGCCCCCTCTCCCCCTTCCTGGAACTCCAGGTTCCTCCTGCTTAAGGCTCCACCATGTCAGCCTTTCCCATCCCCTGGTGACTTCCCAGGCGAGAGCCCAGCTCAGCACTTCAGCTCCCTACCTGCGAACCCATCCCAAACTTCCACCTTGAATCTCTTGCCTCTGGGCTTCCTGACATGGAGGCTTGCCCCTTGGAGACGTCTGACGAGGGTCCCACCCTCCTCTGTCCCTTCCTAACACTGAGGAGACCTGGTGAAGGCAGCCTCCCTCTGAAAGTTCCTGAAGACTCAGGGAGTGGAAGGGCAGGGTGTGTGTTTGTGGTACAAGGAGGTAATAGGTGGGCAAGGAAGCCTGAGCTGGGTGTGAAAAGCCCTATGGAGCAGGGGCAGTCATGACACTACAGAGAGTTGGTTGGAAGGAAAGGCTAGTGAGATACCACGCATGAAGATGCAGATAAGAGTGAATTTGGTGTGATGGCCTCCCTACATTGGGAGGTTCTTTGCTTATGGAATCTGGTGTTTGGTTGGGAACGCTGAGATGTATGTAGTCAGGCTGGGTCTGGGAACCCCAAAGCAGTGGTTCTTAAGCAGGTGGTGCTGCCCCTG